TTTCCCCCAGTCTTCAAAACACGTATCTGTCTTTGCCTTTATTCTCATCAATAAGGAATTTAAAACCATAGACTCATTACTCTAAAATGTCACAACCCATGAAAAATGCAAATAGAGAGAACAAACAGGCTCCACGTTGCAAGTGTAAATTCGAGTTCCTGCACAGAAGTGAATTTTTTTCAGTCTGCCTTTGGGCTCAACATGATTTCCTGAAAAGCTGCATGTTTTGCTTCACCATCCCCATAACCAACAGTTGTGCAACTTATATGGATTAATTGAGCTGCAAATGGTAACATCCAGATCTCCCATACTGCTTAAAATACAATACAGCGAAACCAGCCATGACTGCAGTAAGGATCAAAGAGAGAGGATTACAGGAATAGAGTAGACATCTGTCTATGAGAATCAGGGCATCTAGACTCTAAGGCATTATAAGGTAAAACTCTTAACATCTTTTCTGCCATACCTCCGAGCAAAGATGAGCTGGAGGAGGTCAGAGTGATTCACCCGACCCAGCCTGCCACCAGACAAAATAGGTCGCATTAGCTTCTTCAGCAATTATGAAAGGCTTCTTTCTGTAATGAAATGGATAAGATACAAAAAGGAAAAGGGAAGCCCCCAGAGGATAAAAAAGAACAGAAAAAGTTCAAAAGGCAGGTGGGGTTAAAGCTGATGTTTTGAAGCTTATAGCTATGCTTCAGGACTTTCCTATCCCAGGCAGGACACAGATTGCCCAGCAAAGGAGAAGGGCACGGGTATTTATGAACTGGAGTTAATCCCTGCAAAGTTTGCTGCCAGTAATAATCCATCTTGGGCAGCAGTGTTTTGAAACGGTATTGCCGAGTCGTGCAGATTTGTGATGATACTAATCTCCACACAACTTCATGAGAAGTTGCCAGAAACGCGAAGGACTTACACTTGCGGTATATATTTGTGAAACTAAGCTTTGATAGAATGTCCATCCACATTACAGAAGTAGACAAGTTCTGGGCCTGCTTCCATACATAAAGTTACTTCAACTAACTGCCTGTCTTCCAGACTTCCTTTCAATCTCTGGACTATGAACTTTCTTGATATTGATGCTTTACTCCTTCTCCCTTTGATTTGTTCTACCACCTAAAGTAGAAAAAAAGTTAAAAGACTGGAAAATAACACCAAAAATCTGGGATCAAAACTCCTCTGTTTCTCTGGATTCAGTAGAGCTGTGGCGCAGAGAGGATGAAACCAGGCCTCTTGTGTTTCACTCCTTAATTTGCGGAAGCAAGATTGTCTTGCATCAGTTTTAACGTTCTGCAGACAGCTGCCTTTTCCAAAGAACACGAATTCCCCACACAAGTGGGGGATGCTGAGCACCCTCACGTGGAAAAGGAGGTACCATTCTCTGAAAACGGCTGAGCAATCTTATCAGCACCCTCCAAGAACTTGCCATACTGTTATCTGAAAGGCAGTGACCTCCATGCCAAGTTTCTTACAGTAAACTAGACGAATTACAGACAATACTGTGTACTCGAAGACCTGCACTACTTCTACATGAAGTTAAACCATCGTTTTACTCCTTGTCCTGCCTAAAAACTTGGAAATTGTGTCACTCACTTGCACACTGGTACACTATCACTGACTTTATTCCTGATCTACTGTACTGGGACAACTAGATGATAAGTACAAGACCAAATCACATGCACAGCAGTCTAGCCACAACAACGTGAATTTCTAGGACCAGACTTCCGAACAGCAACTCCTGCAGCTTCCCACAGAGGTGGCCATGCAAGTTCTACACCTCCAGCGACCGGCCACCACTTCTTTCCTGGCCTCTCTTTGCAGATCTGCAGCATGAAGGTTGGCTTTTTAGGCCTTCACACTGCCCTGCAAATTACCTGACAAGCAGGGCTCAGTATGGAGTGGTCTCTGCACGCTAAAGAGAATAATAAATTCTCTCTCTTCTCTGTGTCTGTCTGTCAGTCAGTCCCTGGCAGTTACTTACACACCCATGGACAGTTTCAGAGAGAAGACGGGGCGATCTTTCAAAGGTATGAAGTTTATGTGAAGTTTTGTGAGTGGCAGGGATCAGGTAGAAGAATCCCAAGAAAGTCTGCAGTGAGAATTCAGCTGTTATTTGTTCCGCTGACCTGGCCTCCCAAAACACGTCCTAGACAGCCAACATCCATGCACCAGCAGCTTGGAGCCCTACCACCCAGCAGAAGCTACTTCTTGCCCAGTTGTCACTGAGGAGAGATGTGAGGCATGATGTGAAGAGGGGGTAGGCATGGTCACCACAGTGAATGGGAACCGGGGCGATGCAGGGTGTGGGGCAGACACAAGGAGCGAGAAAGTTAGAATGGCTGCTGTGGAAAAGAGTCGGGATAGCAGACACAAATTCACAAGATGGATTTCTGCTGTTTCTGGTGTAACATGCAACAGAGTTTGTGCTTGGTGCTCAGTGTAACCTGAACAAGAGGAACACAACACTAGCTGAAACCCTCACCTGTAACTTGTGATAAAACGTGTCCACAAGGCAAGAGATCTGTCAATAAATACAGAACTCATATTAGCCTGTGGCAGACGTGACATAAGTCCAGATTCTTTTTGCACAAATATACTGAAGTAGTCATCTAGGCTCACATAAGTTATGGAAAGGTTGTCCTGCAAGCTCTAGCACGGACAACGACATAGATTTAAAAAATTGCTTCTTACCAACAATCATGTGGTTGCAGACATCGCAGAAGGTGGGTTTTTTGAAGATGTGCTCCTGGAAGATGTGAGCCTTGTTGTTTTCTGGCAGGTGCTGGGCTCTGGTGGGGGAGGACGCCTGGCTCTCTGAGCTGGGGAGCTGCCCGGTGCTGGTGCTCACCTCAGGCATCAAGTCCACTTGCAGCTTCACGTCGCTATTAGTCCTCTGGAAGAAATTGTCTGCGCTTTTACTCCGCAAACTTTTGGTCTTGAAGGAGAGCGATCTTTTCAGTTTCTGCAGCTGCAACAAATAAACCAGTTACAATTACTGCCTTTTCCTCTTCAACAGCAAGGCACGACTCCTGGTCTTGGGGTGTGCTGTTGACAAGTGACCCTGGGAGCCACTGGCAGACCTTAAACCACGTGAACAATAAAATTGACTTCAGAATTCATCCAGTGATTTCAGAGCAAAGAAAACAGATCCCAATGAGAAAATAAACTACTCTACGTATGCTTTCAGATAGACAATAAACTCGATAACCCCAATGAATGCTTCTGTTAGTCTTTTCTTTCAGGTATGACAGCAAAGAGGTACTGCAGAGTTCTACGTGTTGGAGAGTATATTCTTTGTATTCATGCATGAGAGAACTTAGAGTATTACTCATCCTTGCATGGTCCTTAAGGAGCCTGTAAAGCCATTTCAGGAACAGCTGTTAAATGGCAGTGTAAGAGTAGTGAATTCAGTAAATATATTTGTTATACTTAAATTTCTTTAATTTGGCAGAAACAGAGATTATATGCAGTTTTGACTGAGATATTCTCATTTTCTTTTATTTTTTTAAAGGAAAGAAGGCTAAGGAGCAGTAACAGTACCATTAACTAGCCAATTGATAGTTAATGCATTAATTAATAGTAAACACACATTCACATATATTCTTGTACATTGTATTGTGCATTGATTGTGAGACTATTAAGCACCACAACAAGGCATTATTAACTTCAGTTTGTGAACTCAAACTCTTTACCCGTAAACTGTCTTGTACCTTACCAGAGCTCCTCTCGTCCTTCCCCCTCCCCAGTTATACACAAGGCTGAGAAGGGCGGTAGGTGAGGCACAGAAGCTATCGGGGTATCCGCTACACAAATTTGCAGGTTCGTCAACTCCAACGGCCCACAAGTAGAGCTCAGGTAAAAGGAAAGCCAGCTCTGCATCCACTCCATGTTTGCTATCTCTGAAGCGTAATATCTCCGCATCACCTTTTGCTCAGTGTTATTCCAACCGCTGCAAAATCATTTCAATCGCTGCGGCAATTCTCTGGGCCAATGTGGTGTAACAACTGAAACTTTCCGTGCCTCTCAGGCTGTCTGTGGTAACCAG